GGGGCGTGGCGGGGCGTGGCGGGGCGTGGAGGTGCGCGGCGCCACCGAGCCTACCCGCTCCAGCGGCAGCCTCACCAGCGCGCCGGTCCCGGGGTTCTCAAAAGTAATCTCCAAGTTGTGCGTTTGCGAAACGGGAGACGACCGCGGGGGACCAGACTGGGAGTGGGGGGTGAGGGGGGAATATCACACAGCAGCGAGCACGCTGAACAGGAGCCTGCAGGAGGTCCTTGCAAGAGGGGACCTGCAGGAACAGCTGAACGCGCACTTTTGCCGAGCTAAAACAAAGTGTATGAGAAAAAATTTCGACTTTCAGTTTCATAGCAGCAGATTTGCGGGAAAAAAGTTCCATGACGTGTGTCGTAAAATAACAATTTGAAATTGTAAATTTATACAAGTACTTCGTATATCAACTTGGAATTGACGATCAATAATCAAGAATGGTATGTCGCAAATTTACAATTACATATTTTTAAAATAAAGACTATACAACAAAATGTTAATGTGAATTTGCAGGGGTACATTTTTCACAGTGACACAGAGTGCGCGAAAATATTGGGCAGGCTCCTAACGGAGTGAGAGGGGGGAGGTCGCGGCACACGTTAATTTAGTGAGTGGTTCCGGAAACGCGACTCGTCAGTCGCGGGAAAGTTTTCTGCGTATACAGTAAGCTGAGTGACGTGAGGGGTTCCCGCGCGCTGTGTTTGGACGGATAACGAACAGGCGGGCGTATGTAAAACGAAGAGAATGCATCAACGAGGGAGTATGGTATAGTGCATTATTCGCTAAACGGGGGATGCAAAAAGTTAGTTTTTTTTGTCCCCCATGGAAAATGTAAGTAAAGCACTACTTTTTATTTGTAAACGGACGCCGCCGCGGCGCCGGAGGTTGACAAGCGCCGTTTGCTAGAGCTGTAAATGACTTGGAAAACACGTTGCTTTCAAATTTATGAGCAAACTTGTCGCCGTGCTGCCGCCGCGTGCCCGGCCACGCAACACAAAACTGTCATCCCCTCCAAAGGGACGCACCTGTAGCCCCCCCCCCTCCACCCCCCGTGTAGCCGCCCGGAGGGTTGCCTACGCACTAGGGGCAGAAAGGCGGAACGGTCAAAGCAAAGATCAAGGTGGAAGAGGGGGGCACTTCTTAGCCTCAGCCTGTCAGCATAAGTATAAACATCGCTCTCAGCGAGGCGTGACCACAGTGCGGTCAAACGCTTTGCTGGTTTTCCATTTCCCCAACCGGCCCAGGATGCACATCCGTTCTTTTAGCTATATTATTACAGAAATAAAAATTGTCCAAATATAACACATGTTGCACTCGCGCCAAAATAAATAACATATGCAGTTTTTGAAAAATTACGTTCCGAGTGAAGAAAGCAAAAATTAAAAAAAAAGGAAAAAAAAAACAAGCAAAAAAACAACAAAAACTAACAAACTTTAGTCTACCCCAAAGTGGTTAAGGGTTGGTGTTCCAGCTACCTGCAGCATTTAATCAACCCTTTTTTTTCTCTTCTCTAAAATAATACTACTATGCTACTTTTACTACTATGCTACTTTTGCTTATTTTCCCCCAGCGATTGACGCGAGCGTACCTCTAACTGGCCGCGGTGGTGCCGCGCTTGTGCCGCCCGCCCCCGCGGTGCAGGTATCTTCCCCCTCGCCAAACAGACAGGATAAACAAATCTATACGACGACCCCACCGAAGTGCTAAAAAAAATGATAAGAAAAAAACGATAACGCGATAATAAAAACTCGCGTCTTGGCTGTGCATGCAGAATGCACTGTTATTGTTGCAACAAGTGCGAACATCATTTACAGCTGCAGGTACGTTCCTTAGACTTACGTTTCTGCAACAGAGAGGGTATATCCTCCGGTTGGATTTTATGGGACTATGTCGAAGCTTTGCGCCGATAATGTTGGAGTTTGTGTGTCGTGTGTTGTGTACTCACTCGTTCTCGTCGGCGGGGTCCTTGGGGTAGCGCAGCCTCAGGTTGCGGCGGATGTCGTGCGTCGCGTTCACGTCGCGGCTCCAGCCCAGTGACGCCGGCAGCAGCAACGCCGTCTCTGAAGCAGAAAGAGGAGAGTCGCGGTTACACAACCGACAGAGCGAGGTGAGGCCGTTATACACTTGGAGAGGCGCAGTCACCACACCGACAAGTGTGAAGTATTTATACACTTTTCGTTATTAAAAAACAAAACAAAAAAAAAAAACGCCTGACGGATAGGCAAAAATCTTGCGGTGGGGTACAGCTGACCTCGGCGGATGGCCTACCCTGAGCACGACAGGCGCTGACAGTGAGCTCGGGGAAGAAAGAGTAAAAAAGAGTGAGAGAGTAAAAAAGAGTGGGAGAGTAAAGAGAGAGAGAGAGAGAGAGAGAGAGAGAGAGAGAGAGAGAGAGAGAGAGAGAGAGAG